CCTTATGCTATTGGCCTTTGCTCTAATTGGAGAGTTCATCTAGTCTGCTGTGGACACTGCTGACCCCTTTCCTGATATTAGAACCTGCTTCTCTGAATCTCTGATGGGGAGTGAAGTCCAGTGGCTCTTCAGTGATGCCCCAGGCCTTCAGCAACAGATTGGAACTCCTGAGCACCCAGCCTCAGAGATGGAGTCACTGCTGGGCCCTGTCTCTTCAGTGTGAGACTGCCATTGTTGGACTATACTGCATTCCATAAGCCAATTCAATAAATTCCTCCTTAAATATATAGTCATTCCTCCAGTTCTGTTCCTCTAGACAATGCTGACTAATGCAGCTGCTCTTGTCAGGTTTGTCACAACAATGAAAAAAGTAATATAGAAATGCTTTTATATTATAATGCAATATTGTATTATAATACGATATACAAATAATTTAAGTCATTTTAAAACTTTTTAGAAAATAAAGTGGTTATTGATAAACCACTTCAAGCTCGCTCTCTCTCTCTCTCTCTCTCTCTCTCTCTCTCTCTCCACATACACACACACACACACACACACACAAACACACACACACACACACAAGCTGAGTATCCAGACCAAATCTATCTGATCAGAGCCAGTGAGAAGCTCAGCAGGGAAACTGCCAAGCCCAAAGACCTGAGTTCAGCTTTCAGGACCCACATGACAGAAGGCAAGAACTAGTTATTCCAGGTTGTTCTCTGACCTGCTCAGAGTCACAAGTGTACCCTCCCCCTCCACACAAATAAATGAACAAATGTAAAAACATGAAATGTATCTGAGACCTTAGCAACTAAAACAAATGCCATAATTCTATAGTTACTCACAACTAAGAAGTACAGAAACTGGTTCTAAGACAAGGTTTAAACATTACAAACTTTGCTACTTCATCCTTTTTTTTTTTTTTTACAAAGAGAAATGCATTTTTCAGGCTAAAACAAAGCAAAAAAGGCTGGCAGCCACCCAAGACCTTTCTGAAGAAAGGAAACTATGCCTCAGGTCAAGCAGGATTTTGATTTGTAGCCACAGGTTATGCAGCTTCTGGGAGAAGAACACAAAGAAGGTTGCGTTGAGCCTGCCTTAGTCACAGGCAACACGTACCTTAATAGCACAAGAAAGTCAGGAACAGTCTGCAGAAGCAGAGAGTGGTAATCCCTTTATTTATCCTTGGTTAGATCATCAACAGCTACCAGCCTCAGTGCTTATTAACTAAGGGTCTTGAAAAGAGTGTAGGCTTCCCATACATATGCAGAGAGAAAACAGACTTAAAAGAGTGTCAATTTTCATAAAACAGACAGGTAGTGCTCATGCTCTGTCTTTACCTTAAAATAGAAGGCTCTGAATGATAGGTCCAACTGGATACAGTAAATAAAAATCTCTATCATTACCATCTTTCACACAGTTTAGATTTTTAAAATTTTTGTTACTATTTTTAAATGTATATGGGCATTTTGCCTGCATGTAAATACATTCATTGTATGTGTGCCTGGTGCCCACAGAGGCTAAAAGAGGGTGTCAGATCCCCTGGAACTGGAGTTACAAATAGTTGTGAACTGCCATGTGGGTGCTGGAAATCAAATCTGGTCCTCTACAAGAGCAGCCAGCGCTTAGTCCCTGAGCCATCTCTCCAGTCTTAATTCCTGTGCTAAACAGTAGTAGGCGCTTAAAAATAAATGGCCGGGGGGAGGGAGCAGAGACCGAGGGAATGGCCCACCAATAACTGGTCCAACTTGAGACTCATCCCATGGGCAAGCAGTAATTCCTAACATTATTAATAATACTGTTAAGTTTTCAGACAGGAGCGTATTGTCTTCTGAGAAGTTCTACCCAGCAGCTGATTCAGACAGATACAGACACCCGCAGCCAGTGGATGGAGCTTGGGGATTCTTATGGAAGAAAAGAAGGAAGGCCTGAGGGCCCCAAAGGGGATAAGAACTTCACAGGAAGACCAATAGTGTACTAACCTGGACTCTTGGGGCTCTCAGAGTTTGGACCACCAACCAAAGATCACACAGGCTTGACCTAGGCCTCCACGCACATATGTAGCAGATGTGCAGCTTGGTCTTTATGTGGATCCAGAGCAATGGGAATGGAGGCTATCCCCAAAGCTGTTGCCTGACTGTGGGATGTGTTCTTCTAGCTGGGCTGCCTTGTCTGGCCTCAGTGGGAAAGGAAGCGCCTAGCCTTGCAGAGACTTGAAGTGCCAAGTCAGGGGATACTTGGGGCAGGGGTGGCTACACACGCAGAGAAGGGGATGGAAAATGAGGGAAGGATTGTGGGAAGGGTGACCGGGAGGGGGCAGTGAATAGGATGTAAAATGAATAAGTAATAGAATAAAATAAACGGCTGGCTTAAGGGCATAGCTCGGTGGGTAGAGCTTGCTATGCAAGCATGAGGACCCACATTTGAATTCCAGAACCCATGTAAAAGCTGTCAATTTCCAGTTAGCAAAGGCAATACGGGAGAACGTTTTTGGTATTGTGTACCCTTCCCACATCTCCTACCCTTCTCCTCCCACTAGCCCTTATGGACAGCATCCAGCCTTTCCGCTTCTGGCTGGCTTCAGCAAATGGGAGGAGCCAGCAGGGCTGACTGTGGGAGGAGAAGGTTCCTGGGCAGAGGCCTGGGGCTGCCTGAAAGAATCCAAGTGAAAGAGCCATATGGTAAGCTGGGACAGAACTGAAATGTGATTGGCATATTTCACATTTGCTAAGTGTGGCCTAGTATTCTCTTCAGGGCAATTATTATTTTTTTCCTCAACTTTCTCACTTCCAAAAATATTGGAACTGAAGGTCATATGACTTTTGAAGCATAAAAGTCACAATATGTTAGAAGCTGCACAAGAAAGCGTCATGTAGTCTCACAGCTATTTTAAAGTCAGATATCTAAATGTAATTAGATACAATCCATGGCTGTCTTAGAAACTTAAAAATTTAGTTGCTTCCAAATGATTGATGCAAACTGTGCAGCTGTCAGCCGGCATGTTACTCCTCAGTGTGATAGCTGCTCTCAGAGAGCAGGCTGGGAAGGGATTCAGTCAGACTCAGATGCCTGGAACATTCACTGTCAGGAGACAAAGCAAAGGTCCTTGCATGGAGCACACCTCCATCTGTGCTCTGGTGCTTGTCCCTCTCACTTTCACTGGTATATGTCCTGCTCCAGATACCTTCAGGCATTACACACCGTAGGGTCAAAAAGAGATCAGAAGGGTTTGAAGGAGCCAAAGGAAGGTGCTGGCCTTAACACTCCCAGGGAGAAGCTGGCCCTGCTTGATGCCATGCTCCTGATACAGGAGTTCTTCCCCGTCTTTCCCAAGAGGCTAGAACTCATGAAGCCTGCTTTCTCTTTCATCTGAAAACCAAGTTGCAACACATGATTTATTGTCACTCCTGGCTCCAAGGCCTCAGGTCCTCCCTCTTCCCCACATTCTCTGTTATTGTGGCTTCTCACTGATTTCCTGAAGGTACCACCAGCCTGATACCTCCTGGCTTCTGTGGTCACAAGCTTCCTAGTCTTATCTCTGAGGTTGAGCCCCCTGAAATTACTGACCAGGATGGGGAGAGATTGCTCGGTTCAGATTCTGATTTTCTCCCTACAGGTTAACTGGTTGCAGGGCACACTCGGCTCCCAGCATGGCATGCAGCTGTCTCTGTAGTTAAAAGCCCTTCTACAAACTGGGGCTGTCACGTGTTCTTTTTTTTTTTTTTAAGTTATCAAGGAAATTGCTGTCTACAGAAAAGGCTTGATCCTTTCTTTGGACCCTATACTTATCTTAAAGTGTTTTTTTTTTCCACATGTTTTCTTCACTGCATTCAAGGGTGAATTATTTTTTAAAGTACCAGAAGAGAAGTACTTGCTCATAATCCTATGAAGTTTTTTTCCCCTGTTTTTAAAAAATAAAGATTCAATTCAGTGTACCCTAACATGCAGCAACTCTTCAATATGGAACACTGAAGTAAATAAGGTGTTCAAAAACCTAATCTTAAAATGGAAAGCTGTTGGCCTCCTTACCCCCATCTCATAGTAAATTAGGCTGCATGGCTTTCTATACAGCTGTGCAAAGAGGCCAGGAGACAGGAGCGTTTGTGGGCTCGTGGGTTACACCTGAATCAGACGTGGGAATCAGCATGGTGGTTACGTGGCTGGATCTTAGTGAGTGGTCTAAATTTTAGTGTGATACACCACTGAGTTTTATAGAACCAGCTTGAACGCTCTTGGAAGGATGGGCAAGTCACTTCCACTGACAACGGACTGTGGAATTGGAGAGGCTCGATATTTTATTTTTAAAAAGAAGATTTAATCCAGACCAAATAAATGCCTTTCTAAGATAGATCAGTTAAGTGGCAGGCCTATTCTTGCATTTGTGTATGTGTGTGTGTCTGTATTTGTTCAGTTCTTCGGATTAAGTCCTTTGAACATTATTTTCTCCTTGTAGTCACTTTCAGAAAAAGAAACTAAATTTTAAAAATCATTGCCAAAAATTTGTCTTTTAAGCAAAAGAAACTTTTCTGTCAGCACTGTAACATGTGATAAACATGCAAGGGGGGAATTAGGGCTTTTCTGCCTCATGCATCTCGCCAACAACACGCCCACCACTGACTGTAAAGCTGTCACTGAACTGAGGCAAGAGGTTGGATCTAAAGCCACATCTTAAGAATAGGTGGGGAGCATCTTGTCTACCTCATAGCTTTAGTAGGCAGAAGGCTCTATCAACAGCAAACTCTTGCGTCTCCCAGAATTCAGCATTGTGAGCATTCAGCCTACCACAAGGAAAAGAACCCACAGACGACTCTCCTGAGGTGGGTCAGATCTCTGAGATTCTCTTCAGATTCTAGTGTTTAGTCAATATTTACTCTTCCCAACTAGGAACAGATAACTAGTCTCACTTTGGCATAAATTAAAGGGCAAATAAAATGAACTCTAGTTCAAATCGGTTTGCTGACAGGTAAAACACATGCAAACAGACCTTGCAAACAGCATACCTTTCTTCCATGGACACCTCTTTTAGCTGCTGGTGTGGTTTGGTGCCCTCCATTTCCCTGATGCTCACAGCATAGATCTTGGTGGTATAGTCAATGGCTTTCTCTCTAGCAACATCACTGTCATAGCCTCAAACAACAGAAAGAGATTGGGAATATGAGATGGTTCTTAAATGTTCAAGAGGGTACCAGAGAAAAGGGTAGCATCGTAATGGCTGACTGGGGCTCACCTCCATCTTCTTCTGCATCTGTGTCTGACTCCTCACTATCAACCAGCTTGCTCTCTTGTGTCCCCACAAATTCTCTGGTCCAGATCATCAAGGCTGTGTCAGCACCTCCTACTGTGAGCAGCACAGAGTCGTTGTGTAGCCACCTCACATTGGTGACGTGTGCGCTGTGCCCCACATACTTCTTAAATCTTGCATGCTGTCCCTGCAAATAAAGCCAGAAAGTGGCAGTCACCAGTCAGTGCCTAATTAATCCTGTTGTCTTTGCTGTTATCTAGAATGTAACAAAACTGTTCATTTTCTAGTTTTCTAATTTTGCTAGTATCATGAGTAACATGCTCCATGCAGGCTGTGAATGGTCTCTCCTTAAGACTCACTCACAGTAGGTCTTCAACAGGTATCTTTGAGGTGGATTTGAGAACTAAGGTGGATTTGTTTCCGTGTCTCTCTGACATCAAGCCCGTAGGTTTTTGTTTTTTGTTTTTGTGAATTCCTGATGGACACTTCTGTAGCCACCCTCATAGTGGGTTCTACATACAATCAAGAATAGAAGAATAGAAGGCAGCAAGGGACCTCAAGTAATGTTTAAAACAAACAGTTTCATCCTGGAATCTGTAAAGCATCTCTAACCCAAAAGTCACTCAAAGAACTGTTTTAAAGATAAAGCAAACTCCTTTCCCCTAAGCAAATCTAAATAAATATAATTCAGTTTTCAAGTCATTACTGGAGGCTTTTAGAGTGTGGTATCCAGGCTGCACCACAATATCAGCAGGTGGTGAGCGGTGGAGGGTGGGGCATGACTGTGGCTGTCCCAGGGCTGTCCCGACAAGTGCTGGGAAGCCAATGTTGGCACCAGGAAGAGCTTCCATTCTGGGCTTCTGAGACATGGCGTGGCAAAAATAGCTCCTGTGGGAGCCACTTAAAGAGGTAGTTTTTCTATCCCCTTTGCAACTCCCAGGGAATACCTTATGCAATGTGGTAAGCCACATGAACTCCCGGGTCAGGAGCCAGAAGCTGGCTCACCAGATGAAAACTTTAGCACACAACTGACAGGAGGCTTTCCTGGGGCTTTCGACTGGTGTACTAGGAAGCCTGACACAGCATGATACATGGTAGGAAACGGGGGCAGGCACTCGGGGGGCTGCAATCCTACAGATGTCTAGATCTGGCTGACCCCTCCTTGTCACTTGGAAATTACCTATTCCTCAAAACAGCACTGAGAGTGAGAACAGACAAGCCAAAGCCAACAGGCAGGCAGTATTTCCAAGAGCTCTGTGCTCCAGAAGATCTATTGCCCCCTTCTGGCTCCTGAAGGCAGCTGCACTCATGTGCGTGTACACACCCACTCACATACATACACATACTTTAAAAAATAATAAAAATATATCTTGAAAGAAGGGAAAGAAACTAAAATTAAACAAAGGACTTGAACAGACATTTTTTTCAAAGAAGGCTTGCAACTGTGAAAATGAATATAATAGGAATATATTTGCCAAGTGAAAAACAATGCCTAGAAGATCTGCCTAGTAACTCAGAAACAAACAAACAAACAAACAAATCCCAAAAAACCCAGCGGTAAAATGATCAAGGAGACTATTTAAGATATAGTAGCTACAAATGGAGTTTATAGGGAAAGCGTCGTATGGCAGGACTAAGAACTACAGACATCATGTCTGAAGCAGGGCTTCATTACATGGCCCAGGAAGGCCTTACACTCAGGACACTCCAGGTCAGCCTATAGAGTGCTGGGATTACAGGCATGCAGCACCACCTCTGATTCTGGTGGCTCCTTTTATAGCTCACTGACTGTGTCAGATAGTGCTCCATGCTTATCCAGCCTCACTTCTGTAAAGCCTCATCTTCAAACACAGTCACTGTGGAGTCAGGGCTACAGCGTGTTTGGAGGGAAGAAACATTCAGTTCTTAATAGTGAATTTGTTCAACAGACCCAGAGTACTGGAGAAGCAACTATCTTATTCCACATAGTATGCACCAATTGGGTAAAGGAAGTGAGTTAGAAAAACTAGATTTAAAAAAAAAAAGTGGGGGAACTAGGTATGATGGTACAGACCTGCAATACCAGTACATAGAAGGCAGAAGCAGAAGAAATACAGCACTTTCAAGGCCAGCCTGATATATGGGCAGTGGGTGGGGGGTAGAGAAGGTTTAATAGACAAGAGTGATATCCACTCATCCAGTGGACTGGAGTTCTCGTCTTAGCACCCATGTTAGGCACACAAACCACCTTTAACTCAGTTTCAGGAGATCTAAAGCTCCCTTTGTGGCCTTTGGGGGTATGTGTTCTCATATACACACATTCTTTTTAAAATAATAAAAATGAGCCGGAGAGGAGGACAGAGACAGAAAGAAAAAGAGAAATGGAGGAGCGAGTAAGGGGAGGGACACAAGGACCTGAACAGACATTTTTGGAAAAGTGAAAGGAACAGCATGGAAATAGGGGCTGGGCACGGAAAGCCTCTGGACCTACAGGGCATGCAAATAGAAACCACAATGAGATAGCACCATCATGTCAGGACAATGGCTGCCCAAAAGACAAGAGAACAAGTGTTTAGGAGGGTGTGGGGAAAGGGGACACGGTTGGTGAGAATGCAAATTAGTGCAGCACCAGGGAAGACAATGTGAGGGTTCCTCAAACACCTCAAGTGTAAACCAGCACTTGCTCTACTTGCTATTCCAAGGTTGTGACAACTGAAACCAGTACTGTGCCAGGTAAGCACAGTCCCACTGGTCCTCAGATCTAACTCCTGCTGAACTGTGTGAGTTGCTTATATGCTTTAGATACTAATCCTTTATTGGATACCAGGAACGTGTTCTGTCACTTTGGTGGCTGACTTTTTTTTTTTTTTAAATTCCATTGATTATTGTTGTGTTTTTAGTTTTGTGTAGTCTTACTTGCTTATTTCTGCCCTTTTTTAGTTTTGCTTTTGGTGTAGTATCTAAGATCCTGCCCTGGAACCCTGTAAGGCAGCGTCAAATGACTGCCCCAGACATCCTGCCTGGTCAGACTGGAGAAATGGCAGATGAATTTCCTAGAACAAGAGTAAAATCCAATAGTACCAAAAGGATTCAGCTAAGAGTTTCTTAAACCTCGAGTCTACTAAAACCAAGGTATCACAATTAGAAAAAATCATCCTCAAAGCAATTTCATTTTAAATGAAGAAGAGTGGAGGGCTGAGGAGGTGGCTTAGCTAATAAGTGCCTTCCTGTACCAGTGAGGACTTGAATTGGGATCCCCAGTGCCCATGTCAAAAGTCTGGGCACAGTGAGTGAAACACGAAGGTTCCTGGAGTTAGTGCCTCTAGCCAGTTGGTCAGCTCTAGGCTCAGGGAGAGACCCTGACTCTCAATCTAAGGGAGAGGCCTGGAGATATGACTCACAAGTAAGAACACAGGCTGCTCTTCCTGAGGATCCAGGATCGATTCCCAGCACCTACATAGTGGTTTACAACATCTATAACTCCAATTCCAGGGGCTGGATGCCCCCGGCTTCCAAGGACACAAAGACATTCATGGTGCCTAGATATATATGCAGGAAAAACACCCATGCATCAAAGGTTTTTAAAAATTAAAAACAAGGTGTAAAGCAACAGAGGAAGACAGCTAATACTGACCTCCGGTCTCCATATGCAAGCACGTACACATACACAACACACACATACACACACACACACACACACACACACACACACACACACACACACAAAACATAAGAAGTAGAGGAATCAAGAAGAATGGCTGCTGACAGCTGAACTCTGGTCCAATAGGCAAGGCTGGGAGGTGGGTGGAGTGATGTCTACCCAGGGCACGGTGATGATCTGACCAGGTCAAAGAAGTAACGCAAAAGGCATCCCAAAGATCTGAAGTGGGTGCTGAAAGAACTCATGTGTGGCAGGAATTGCCTACCCAATGTATTTGCAGTGGAGCTAGGAGTTGGGAGGAGAGAGGAAAGGAGGAGAGAGAGAGAGAGAGAGAGAGAGAGGAGAGACATGATGGCAGCAGATGTTACCCTCGTGTCTCTAGCAATCAAAGGTAGTTATAATTATCAAGGTTAGATAATTGGGATAACAATTCTAATTGTATGGGCATCTTGTGTATTGAGTATTTGCAAATATATAAATCCATTGATTAATCTTAAGCTTTAGAGTTTTACTTTACTGGGTTACTGGGAAGTGGGTCTACCGACAACTGGGTGGTTGTGGCTGTAAAGGAACTAGTGGCTCCAGGGACAAGTGAACCAGAGTTGGAAGCACAGCGACTGGTTGCTATGGGGGCAAGTCAGAGAGGGCAGCCTGTTGGAACCAGCTTGGAAGCTCCGGCCTTGCTGGGGAGCTTGCCAAGACAAAATGGGCTTAGAGCAGGAAATGGCAGCCAGGCCAGGAGCTAGCCGGACGGTCCCTTTTTTTCTATTATCGCCCGATACAACTCATGTGTTCGATTTTAAATGTGTTAGTTTTGCATAAACCTTGATTTCAGTAAAAACAAGAAAAATAGAGGAGCGTTAAGAAGACCTCTTAGATTGGATAGTAACAGACAGTAAATGTACTTATTTTCTCTTTCAAAGGGAGAAGAAGGAATGCCCTTCAAAGCAGAAGGGGCAAAGCACCTCATGATTCCATGTACTGTCAAATGCGATCCTAAAGGATGTTGCTGGCAACTGAGGAATTTAGAAATCAGAAGAGCTAGCATCACAGACAAGAAGGCCACTCCATCCCACAGAGCAACTGAGTAGGCACTGGGAAATGTGGATTCATTAGCTGGATGCAAGAGATGTTAGACAGGAGGTCAACAAAGGTTTCAGAGAGGACCAGGCAGGAACCATGACTCATGGGGACCAAGGTCATCTTTTCTATTGGGTGCGTCATTAGCAGAGACTGGGGATGACTGAGGCACAAGACACACAGCTTTCAGCTATATGTTTGCCCTATTTTTTTTTTTTATTGTCTGTTTGTTTTGAGACAGCGTCTCATATAGTCCTGACTGGTCTCAAACTTGCTGTGTAGAGCTAAGACTGGCCTTAAACTCCCTCATCCTGTGCCATGGCTTATAGACATGGTTATAGACCATTCTTACTGCCTGGCTGATCTCACCAAGTATTTTAATCATGTCTTCCAGGAGGCTACAGTACTATACAGCTAGAGAGTTTTAAATATCTGTTATCAGTTGAAGAATTGAAACTAAATGTGAGTTGACACGTGGAATAGACACTGACAGGGGTGTCTGGCACTGGTGTTTGACTGTTACCTCTTTCCACAATTTAGAAATAATATGAGACCAAGATGGCGTGGTACAGGGATGTAGTAAGCATTTCAAAGGTATTTAAAGGATTTGGGTGGGAAAGACAAATTAAATAAGATAAAAGTTTTCTTGGTATAGATAGGTATGAAGAACTGTAACCACGTTTCAGAGACTAGATTCTGCAAGAACAGGCTGGGGACACTTATGAAAATGGTAGCTCCATGTATGGCTCAGCTATGGTTTCAACTCAACTGGTGCCATTTTAATTTTATTCAATAAAACTATAAAATCAAAATAAAGAAGCTAATAGCTCAGTGTCCTGTGAACTAGCCAGATTCTATCTGAAGCAATGGTTCAACTCTAGGTAGCTGGAGAAGATACTGATAATATTAGGACAGATGGAAAGGGAGCTAGATAGAAATCATGGCTCATGGGAAATGGTTGAAGGGGGCTCTGGGATGCCCAGACGTGGGGAGCTGAGCCTACGGGAGCTGAGGTTGCATACAACCTTCATGTATGCAAAGGCTGTTAGAAGATTGGAAACACGCGTCAGTGATCAAGAGGCAGAGTGCAGGCTACAGACAGGAGCTCGGCTCAGAGTCTAGTGATGCCTATTACCAACAGAAGCTGATGGAGGCAACAAGGGTGGGGCTGCTGCCATCTGCACAGAGCACCAAGGAGCCTGAGAGACCCAGGCAGTAGCTCCGGGACCACGACAGCAGCAGCAGCAGCAGCAGCAGCAACAACAGAAAAAAGAAAGAAAGAAAGAAAGAAAGAAAGAAAGAAAGAAAGAAAGAAAGAGAGAAAGAGAGAGAGAGAGAAAGAGAGAGAGAGAGAGAGAAAAGAAGGAAGAAAGAAAGAAAGAGAGAGAGAAAGAAGGAGTGGGTTCATGAAATTGGAAAGAAAGATAGAGCCAAGCAGGGTGGAGATGATGAATTTACATATACTCTTCACTGCCACCTCAACTAGCAGGCTACAAGCACAAAGGACCTTGCTAAGAACTCTGGGGCTGCCACCTCATCAACAGGGAGGTGTGCCTCAGCCTGGAGCTTCCACAGAAACAAGTCAATACTGAATAGGAGTGGCCAGCCCCCAGCATGGAAATACCACATCTGCAGTCCATGCAGCTTGCCCTGCTGCGAGATAGAAAGTGCAGGCACCACTTTCTACAAGCTCAACAGTCGTGGCAACTCTGCTGGTTGTGCAACAGAAGTGGTGCCTGCCTGTAGGCTACAAGCACAAAGGTCCTCAGGGAGGTCATTATCAAAAGCAGGGAGGTGTGTGGCAACCAGGAGCTCACACAGAACCTGCCCCTGAATGCCCTACCTGGCTGTAACATCACCCTGACTCTGGGCAACAGCAGGAGATATCTCTATATCATCTCTATCTCTGTCTCCGTCTCCCTCCCCCCCCCCCCCTCCCTCCCTCCCCCTCCTTCCCTCCATCTCTCTATCTCTATCTCTCTATCTCTATCTCTCCATCTCTCTATCTCTATCTCTCTATCTATATATTTATATATCTATATATAATGACACAGCACAGTTTCCAATGCCACTACCATGAATAAATATAAGAATAAATATAAGTGAGAAAGATGGAGGAGTGGAGTGGTATGTGTTCAGTGGAGAGAGGTGGAACTAGAGACTCTACATCAGTGACAGATGTAAGAAGGCTGCAGTGGACTGGGGAACATGTACTTGCTGAGTAGGGCTCATGGTGGTGTGCAGCAGCCTGGAACTTGCACAGACTCAGCCTCCAAATCATGCTGTGCAGCCTCAGGATTGCCCTGGCTCTGAGCAATGACAGGATGTCTGGGATGAAGAACAGTTCATTCTCTGGATAGATGAACAGTTCATCTCCTTGAGCGATCTCTATGATCCACACTGCTCCTGGAGGCCATGTGTATGTCTGAGGCCTGTGCTACCCCTAGAGGTCAGGTAGACATCTGTAGTCTGTGCTACCACAGGAGGCCATATTGGCGTCTGTTGTCTGGGTTGCCCCTGGAATCCATGTTGATGTGGGTGGCCTGTACTGCTGCCTGAGGCAATGTTGGTGTCTGTGGTTCATGCTGCACCAAGGCCATGTTTGGGTCTGTGGTCCTGTTGCAGCGGGGCACTGTATTGATGTCTGTGGGCTGTGTTACCAACAAAGTCCAGGCTAACATCTGTGGTCTGTGCTGCTGCCTGAAGCCATGTTGATGTCCAGGGACTGGGCTGCCACCTGGAACCATATTGGTGTGAGTGGTCTGTGCAGTGGCAGAGGGTCATGTTGGTGCCCATGGTCTGTATTGCCACCAGACCATGTTGAGGTCCATGACACAGTTGTCAACCAGAAACCAGGTGGAAGCTCATGATCTGGGTTCTCGCTGACTGTAAAGGGCAAAGAATCTACTTTTGCAGTGGTATTGATGACAGTAGTCTCTCAGTTAAAAAAGAGGGACATAGAAGGTTTCTATGACAACCCCTACTCTCCCCACCCCCAAAAAGTAACAGCCTAGACAGGAAGCTATTGAAGAGAACTCTTACAAATTGTCATAAGATGCTGATGTGTAGCTCTCCACAATTGATAACTTCTGGCAGGGACACAGGTAGGGAAGGACTCTGGTTTTTTTTTTTTAAGGGGCTGGCCACTGGGGGTTTGACCGTGGTATCTGGGGACTACTGTATCATGAGAACATCACTAAACTCATCCACTTAAATACAGCATCAGGGAAGTTTCTACACAACATTACAGAAGTAATAAATATGTTTCTGACGGTTAATGCATTCAAATAAAAAGAACCATTCAGATACAACAGATATTTAGGGTAACTAACAGAACTGATGAAATCTATAACAAACATACAACATTACCTTGACAGGATATGAAAAAAGCTTCACAAAACCAAAGTCATCCCCAGTGGCTAAGAGGGAGCCATCTTTGGTAAGACTGGCAGCATTGACATCTGTCACATCGCTGTGAGCAGGCCAGATTCCTTCACAGGTGGGCCCCAGGACACAGGTCCACGTGTCCCATTCCATCTTCTCAATCTGCAGGGGTGAACAGTGTGATCATTTTGTAGAGCCTCATTTCTTTTTGTCTTATTTAAGAGGGATGATTTTTTGAAGGATCCACTTTGGGACAGCGGGCATTTGTGCTGGGTGATGAGATGCTCCAATTCTTAGCTGCCACTGTTGTCTGTCTGTCTGTCTTTTTTTTATTTTTTATGAGCCAGGGTCTGATTCTGTAGCCCAGGTTGGCCTTGAACATTACAGGCGCTAAAATTACAGGGGTATAAGCACTGTATCCAGCAACTGAGTTGCATACTTATAACATCATTTCTCAATAAGCAAACACTACTGTCAAATATACTCAAATGTATTTTTCTAGACCAAAAGCATACTTTGGAATTACGAGACTCTGATCACAATAAAGGTTTGTAAGATTTTTAACTAGATTTTTAATCACTATTTAGTCCATGAACTAGATCAGATATTTTCAGCACACTGCAGGTAGCCATGTTTAACAGCCTGCCTGACTTTACCCCTTGGATGCCAGTATTTCCCTTCTCCATGTTCCTGGGGGGAAATTTGCTTCTGGGTGGGAATTATTGAGCTAGTAGATAAAAACTATTTTTCTTATATTTGGTGTGTGCATATATATGCCTTTGAGTAGGGGTGTACACATGCTACAGTGTATGTAGGGAGGTCAGACAATAACTGGGAGTCACTTCTCTCCTTCCACAGTGACATTTCTGAGGACTGAACTAAGACTGCCAGCCTTAGCAGCAGGTTCCAGACTCTATGTTTTTCATAGGCCTGATCTCAGTTATTGAAAAATTACTTATAAGGCAAAGGGCATAGGGAAGACATGAGAAAAAGAAAATAGTTTGACATTGGACTAGTTGGACTTCTGTTTTAGAAGGCATCTTTCATTATCATTATGGATAATATTGCTTATTATTACAAATGAACACTGGGAAAATATCTAAAAAATTTACAGTTGTAAAAAACATTGCACAAAATGTCATGATGAGGGGAAAGAGAAACACACTGCCCAGTTAGCATACAGTGTCCTCGGGAAAACCAAACAGCAGGATACAATCACCATGACACAGTCAGCCCGTGCCCTCAGCAGCTAGGAAAACAGATCAACAGTTCTTAAAGGTGTAAAGGTAGATGGTGACCTGGGTTCATAATTAAAATGGACAGGTTTGATTAAATCCACATTTTTAACCAACCATAAATATGTATGTCATTTATTTTCATTTTATGTTCACTGGTGTTTTGTCTACGTGTTTGTCTATGTGAGGGTGTCAGAAGCCTGGAACTAGAGTTACAGACAGGCATGAGCTGCCATGTGGATGCTGGGAATCGAGCCCAGGTCTTCTAGAAGAGCAACCAGTGCTCTTAACCAGCCAACCCTCCAGCCCCCAAATATTTTTTAAAATCTTTATGTAAGGCAGTTACCTCTGACGGCCTTATTGTGTGTCTTCTGCCTCTTGGAGCTTCAAAGAAAAGCTGTTCTTTGGCACCTGAATTAACTTGCAATAATTTCCCTGTTACAGCAGAAATAAATGGTAGGAATAAGAGAACAAATTAAACTGTGCATTTATCATTTTGTTATAAGATACTAAGCATAGCTGCCACAATTTTATTCACTTAGTTAGCCTAATCAATTGAGTTGAAAGTATGTTACATTATTCCAAAAGGCACATAAATATCAACACACAACATGGAATAATCCCCAAACCTCTAATTTAAAAAACATGGACCTTATAATATTTGATCTTGAGTGTCTGTCATATAACAAGAATCAAGTCTGCTGTTTGCTCGGCAGCACAAAAATTAACTCCGATTTTATTTGAAGATGTATTTATTTTTTATGTGCATTGATGGTTTGCCTAAATGTATGTGTGTGGAAGGGTGTCAGATCTTCTGGAACTGGGGTTATAGACAGTTGTAAGCTGCCATGTGGGTACTGGGAATTGAACTCTGGTCCTCTGGAAGAACAGCCAGTGTTCTTTAACTGCTGAACTATCACTCCAGCTTCAAAGTCTACTTTTACAAAATAAAATTTCCACCCATTTCCCCCACTGCTGTCTATTAAAAGGTAAAGGCAAACAGCCTGTCCTGAGACTGGCATCAGAAGTGAGATTCATGTGGGAACTGCATTTACTTAGTCCTAAATTCTAAATCTGCCTTTCAAGTTAGGGCCACACAAAGCAAACTACAAATGTTGACCCTCCCAACCTTGTCTTAACTGAAAGTATTCAAAAGGAGAAAAAGGCTATCCTCACACAATTGAGCGACTGGTCTTTCAGCCATCCCAATATACAACTATGGTCTCATCACTGATGTTGAAAAAGATTCAGCTTCCAAACTCTCCTCCTCTGAGGGCAGCAATCCTTCATAACTGGAAAATGTCATATGTTGGAGGATGGTGTCTACTATTTTTCTACAATGGTTTAATTATGGAAAATTTCAACCAGGCTTGGACATGAGAATAGTTTAGAGAGTCACAATGTGTCCCTGGTCCAGCTTCCACAGCTAGGAACTCACGTGACTCCGATCCTCTATTGACTGCCTCAGCCCAGACATCATGCATTTGCTCCATAAGTAATTTACATAAACTGCTATTTCCCCTTTCCCCTACAACTGTGTATCTAGGAACTTTGAGTATCCTTGGAAAAATCAATACCCAAATATTCCTCTGTGGCTTGCATGCATGTGGTCTGCGTGCTATCTGTTACATTTGTTACGTGGTCTGACCCGAGGAAGGTCTAAGTGAGTGTTTTCAAGTGATAAGCTAAGAAATGAGGTCCAGTCCCTTCACTGCTGATATTAATAGTGTCTCATTTGGTAAGTTATCACATGACTGGGGTGGGGCCGCACAGACTCCGAGGCTTGAAGGATCTGAAAGAGGGGCATGTGAAATAGACATGCTTTGCGGATTATATGGTAAACGGGAGATGGAGAGAAACAAACCAAGAGATGAGGGTAGTTAAGGGCTCTTTCCCTGCTTAGCATTAGAAGGAAGTGAGCAACCATTACTTTTCTAATGAACTAAACATATCTGCAAAGAGATACTAGGACTTTCAAAAATGGCTGTAAAATATGTGGGAAACAGATTACAAAATTCAGGCAAGCCATTTTCTGAATGACTTTTGATGACCTTTGAGATAGAAGGTACTAGGCAGAAAACTCAGAGGGTTGTAGTTCTCAGGTCATCTCAACAACTCATTTTACTAACTACAGGTTTGTTTATTTGTTTGTTTGTTTGTTTCTGCTCCAGTCGATGGAAGGGGACTTAATTTGGTCCCGGGGTCACAGGCTAGGTATGGCCCCAGTTTTATTTGACCTTCTTCTTGGGGCGCAGGTTGTTGGTATGGCCGCACTTCTTTCGGCAGTTGACTGCACGGAGGGGGGCGGGGGGACGGGGAGTGCAGGCGTGAGTAGCACTTGCGGCAGATCATCTTGTCACACTAACTATAGTTTTAAAGATCATAATTTATAATTAAACCTCCAAATTCTGAGCTAGCTAGGTGAGGAACTGGCTGCAAGGAAGTTAAAGACTCAAGAGAGAGAAGCCCAAGCAGTGCCAGACACCGGTGGGCGCGGCTGGCTCACCCCTCCTTAAGGCCATTTTAACTCTGGGAGCTGATGCTGACCCAGGAGGGACCAGACCCACACTCGGCTAGGCAATCAAAAATCTGTTTTTCTCAGGAAGTTGCCATTAGGGATGCTGAATCTGTGGGTGTCCAGCTGGGACGAGATGTAGATTTTAGAACTGAGGTAACAGTTGGGGGCAACTGAGATTGGGCAGCATGCAAATGAATT